GTGGATTTATTCCTCCTTCCCTGTGCACCAGCTTAGCAAAGAGCCCCAGAATGGTTTGGGTTGGGAGGGACCTCAAAGCTGATCTCGTTCCACCCCCTCCCATGGACCACAGATGAGGCTTTTGATGCTTTTTATGCTTTGCCTTCCCAATTTATTCTTGGCTTTTTTGGCTTTTCTACTGAAAAAGCTCAGCATTCAGGTATTGATAGAGATCAGAGACTTGTGAGAAGCTGCTCAGCCCCCAAACTCCATCTGCTTGGGTTTTTTCTTGTACACTAAATAAAGGCAGAGATAAAAGTCTCTGCTTGGCACCCACTGGAAATTCAGCTTATAAGGGAGCAGAAATAGCAAAACAAAGGCTTTTAGGAGAATTACATCACCAGCCTGAATGCTTCAAAGCTCCTCAGAGCTGTGCTGGGGAGGTGCAGCTCCGAGCAGAGGTGTCACAGCCCCAGAAGCTTTTCATTGCTGATGTCTCAATCAGGTGCTGAGATCCCACCCCACCTGTGGAGCCAGGCTGGGGCATGGGGAGAGCCTGGCAATGCTGGGAGCTGCCAGATCCCCACTCTGGCACGTGTTTCTGTGCTGGGGAGCTCACAGCAGGGCTTGTGTGAGTCAAGGTGCTCTTACATAAGAGAAAAATTGGGTGCTGAAGTGGGCAGCACCTGCCCACGTGTAGGAGGGATTGCATTTGACAGCTGGGACTTTATTGAAAGGTGGAAATTGAACATTTTCTTGGCTTGGAAGAGTTTTTTAGGGGATGGGGATCAGGATTTTCATTCCAGTTCCAGCTGAAGGAAAAAAAACAAAACTCAACAGAGCCTCCCAGCTGGGCAGCTTTGGTTTGTGTCACTCCTTGGGCTCTGTGTTCTCCATTCCAAATGGGGAATTTGGGCTTTTCCCATGGCAGGAAACCTGGGCAGCAAGGGAGGAACTGGAACCACTCCCTGAATAAAAACTGATTGGCAAAGAGGAGGAGGAGTCAGGAGAGAACAAGGTCCCAAACTTGATAAGCAACATTAATTCCCCATCTTCAGAAGGGAGAGCACATCCAGAGGGGCTCAGCCTGGAGAAAAGGAGGCTCAGGGGGGACCTGCACAGCTCCTGCCAGGAGGGGACAGCCAGGGGACAGCAGGCTCTGCTCCCAGGGGACACCAGGACAAGGGGGAACAGCCCCAAGCTGTGCCAGGCGGGTTTGGGTTGGATATTGAGAAAATTCCTTCATGGAAAGGGTGGTAAAGCCCTGGCACAGCTGCCCTGGGCACAGCTGGAGCCCCCAGCCCTGCAGGGATTTAAAATCCAAGGGGATGTGGCACCTGGGGACAGGGCCAGTGGTGGCACCTGGGGACAGGGGCAGTGCTGGCACCTGGGGACAGGGACAGTGGTGGCACCTGGGGACAGGGCCAGTGCTGGCACCTGGGGACAGGGCCAGTGGTGGCATTGGGGACAGGGCAGTGCTGGCACTTGGGGACAGGGACAGTGCTGGCACCTGGGGACAGGGACAGTGGTGGCATTGGGGACAGGGCAGTGGTGGCACCTGGGGACAGGGACAGTGCTGGCACCTGGGGACAGGGACAGTGGTGGCACTTGGGGACGGGCAGTGCTGGCACTTGGGGACAGGGCAGTGCTGGCACTTGGGGACAGGGACAGTGCTGGCACTTGGGGACAGGGACAGTGCTGGCACTTGGGGACAGGGGCAATGCTGGCACTTGGGGACAGGGGCAGTGGTGGCACTTGGGGACAGGGCAGTGCTGGCACTTGGGGACAGGGCAGTGCTGGCACTTGGGGACAGGGCAGTGCTGGCCTTGGCAGTGCTGGGGAGCAGTTGGACTCTCTGACCCTTATGAGTCTGTGATTCTATGAAAATAATAAACAGAGGGGGGAGAGATTTCCCTTCCACAAATGCAGCGAGAGTCAGATTCCCGTGGAGCCCGAGCTGCGGGGGCAGCTCAGCGGTTGTGTAAGAGGGAAGGATCCTGGAGCAGAGCTTGGCCTCCTTCCCACTGTGTGTGCCACTGCACCGAGCCCTTCTGTCACAGGTCCTGGCTTGTGCAGCTGGGAGTTGCAGATTTCCTCCCCTCCAGATGTGCCCACCTGCCCAGAGGGTGCCCGGCACTGCCTGTGCCAGCTGTGGCACCTCCCGGCTCACACCTGGTACCTGCTCTTTCCCTCCAGGCTGCAGAGATGGATGGATTTCAGGCAGACACTGAGGAAGATGAGGAAGATGATGACTGCATGATTGTGGATGTACAGCCAGGAAAAGGTGGGAAGGGAGATGGGTACCGAGGGAGCAGGACTCCCTAAATTTGGTTTTTTCTGCCCTTTTCACCACTCCTTGGGCTTTTATCTCTATAGATATCTTATTCCAGATACTGCTGCTTTTTATCCTTTTATTTTAAAAGATGTTTCTTTGCTATTTATGGCCTTCTCTAAGCTGCTCTTTGCTCTTCTGCCCTCCTCCTCCCCTTTTTGTCTCACACAAAGCCCCTGTGAGCAGCCAGGGTCCCCTGCCTGTTCCTGGGGGCACAGGTGAGCACTGGGGCAGTGCCAGCACATCCACTGGCAAATGATGGCAAACATTGCTGCCCTCTGGGGCATGCAGAGCCCTTCCAGCCTGGCAGGGGCTGGGTTATTATTGGAATAGGAATCCCAATATTACCAGTTAGATTGTGCCTGGGCCAGTCTGACCCTCGCTGCTGGGCCAAAGGCGGCAACTGTGGTATAATCACCCCAGAGACACCTTTGGCTTGCTGGAGATTGCAGCTGGGCACTGAACAAGTCCAGGCTTGTCAGGAACTCCGTTTACCTCAGGAGGAAAGCTTCAGGTGATGGTGAGGAGAAAAAGGAGATGGATTCTGCTGGAGGGTTTATATCCAGAGGTTTATTCCATGGTTACAGAGGTCTGAATGTGAGCAACTGCTCCAACAGAATCTCGGCCGCATGGTCTGATTCACCTTTTAAGCTCAGGGACAGGGGAAGGGGAGGGACAGGTGAGCACCAACCAGGTGAGAGGGGCAGGGTCTCAAGGGACCAGGGACACCTATACGGGCCAATGACCCCCAGGCCTGAGGGGCATCCTTTGAACTTGACCAACCACACACGCCTTGCTGGAATGTTCAGCCTGATTGACAGGACTCACTCAGCAAGGGGGGCGAGGGGGAAGAGGTACAGGCACACCTGGGAGGTGACCTGGAAGTCTAAAATGGGACATTACAGCACACCACAACAGGTCATCACCCCTCTGGAGCAGCCACAATCTGAGCGCTTGCTCGTGTTTGTGTCCCAGTTATCCCTTGGAAATGGCTTCAGAGCCCCTGTGCTGCAGCCTCTCCTTTCAGGCCACGCTGGGAGGAGGATGTGCAGCAGCTCCTTTCATCTCCAGGAGCTTTTGGCCGTGATCACACAGATCAATGAGCTGACTCCGAGCACGTGCTGTGCTTTCCAAAGCTCTGGGCTCTTTTCTTGCCGCTCACAATGGAGCTCTCCCAACCTGCTCTAGGGAAAGTGGTTTGTGTTGGGCGGCTCCTCTGGCAGATAAGGACTCGTGCACAGAAATTCTGGAGTGTTTGACCCATTCCAGGCATTATCTGGGCTCTCCTGCCTCTCTGAGCTCCTCTCACCTCCCAAAACAGACATTGGGACTGCCTGACAAGGAGCCTGGCTCTAATCTTAAGCTGCTTTTGCTTATTACCAGGCTCTGAGATGAAAACCTCGCCTCGGGTTCATCCCCTCTTGTTCTGAGGATGCCACTGAGCAGCTTCCCTCCCTCAGGCCCTGCTGACACACAAGCAGCTCTGTTTGTTTGGCTCTGCCTGACTCTAAAGCACTGAAAAGATTATGGAAATCCTTTTTATGGTTGAAGTGATTTTTTTATTCTGGATTGGTGCTATTAAATACGAAGCCAGTATTAAAACCAGTTTTTAAATAGTGTTGAAAAGGAGACTCACAACAGATGCAGGAAGCTAAGACAGATAACACATAAAGTAGTCAAATTTTACTGGATTAATGAGGATATTTATAAAAACAAACCAAACACATTCTCTCCTTTGCAGGTTCCACAGCTTCAGAATCCAGTGGCACAAGAGCTGCTCACCAGGACAGCAGCATGGTCAGCCCATCTAATACAATTTGAGACTTTAAATGCTACTAACTCCTCTGTATGTATGTAGAATGAGCTAGAAAGTTTTAAACCTTGTGTATCTTTGACCAAGATACTTGAAAGTATTCCACATTTCTTGTAAAGAGAAGACAGCACTTTGTTCTACTTCAGACCAGATGGAAGCTTAAATTTTTAGCTTTAGCTTTTTAGCTTTTTTTTTTTAAATACTGCATATTAATCTGTCCTTAATAAAGCATTATTGAAATTTTGATACTTCTTTGTAATGGAAGGTATCTAAGTTATCTCTAAAAGTAGCTGAGGGATTTTGGAATAAGCTTATTGTGATGCCACTGGGGAATGACTGTTCATAATGTTGTACAGCGTGGCCTTGGGTATAAATGATGTACAATTATATATGAATTTATGCTCTTGTACCATCCTGTTTGTGGTCTTACTTGCTCCAGAGAACAGCAGCAGGGCTTTACCTTTGGAAGAGGGAAAAATGCTTTGTTTCTCTTATTTTGGGACAGGCTGGACAGGTCAGGGCTAGGTTCTCAGTCTCTTGTCTGCATCAGAGCTGGGCTCTGTCCCACAGGAAAACTCTGCTTGAGGTATTAAAGGACTGAGCTGGCATCAGACTTGGTGACACACAGGACAAACTTGCTGGGGCTTTCATACAACTGGTGAGTTATCAGTTACTTCTTTAAAAGATTGTCTGTAATTTCAGGTTTGTTCTCTCCCCCTGGGCAGCAGCAGTGGCTGTTCCCTGCTGTCACTCTCTGAAGGGACAAGGGGGTGATGCTGCCCCAGTAACACCAGTGCCAGCCCCAGCACAGACTGGTTTGGCATCTCAAACCTACAACAGCAATGCAACTCGAGCAACTGGGATCAGGACTGAGTCTTTAAATAATTCCATTTAATCGGACTAAGTGTAACTTTATCCAAATAGCTTCTCCCCAGTAGGAGTTACAGTGCACACAGAAGCAGAACGGGAAGCTGAGCTCTACACCCAGCGCCCTCCCCAGGCTCAGGCCGGTCATCCAGCCTTACCAGCCCCTCATCCCTGCTCCACCACTGCCTCGGGAACGCCTCGGGCAGTCCCTGCTCCAGTTGGGTGTTGGCAGCCCCAGGGAGGAGCCGCTGGCGGGGCCACCTGTGAGTCTGGAGCCGGGAGGGGACAGCAGGGCCCTGCCCCTGTGCAGAGCCAACCAAAGCCACCTCCAGCAGTCTCGGCAAAAGGAGGGACGAGTCCAAAGCCAGCAGCACCGGAGGCTCTGCCCTTTATTTCAGGACAGGGGCTGGGCCCTGGCCAGCAGCTCGGGCCTGAGGGGGCTGCGCTGCTCCTCCGCCGCCGCCTCCACGTCCGCCATGACCGCGGCGTCCCAGGCCAGGCTCAGCAGGGCCGAGGGCACCTGGGCACGACAGCAGCACTGAGCACGGCCAGGGAAGGGTGCCAGGAGTCCTGGGAGCCACCCAGTGCCACCCCTGCCTGGGGCAGCGACGCCTCCCACTGCCCCAGCTTGTGCATCCCTGGGCACTCCCACATTGCTCTGTTCCTGAGTGTGGGACACCCTGTGAGCATTCACAGAGCTGGGACTGCTCAGACTGAGAAGGACAAGGCTGGAGTGCAGGCAGCTGCTTTTAGGGGATGCTAATTTGGGCTTTCTGTTCATACCCTCCCTCACCATCACTGCCTTCCCTCCTTCCCAGCCCCTGACAGCTCTGGGCTCCAAGAGGAGGAACCTGCACTTCCCTCCACACCTCCAAGCCCCCCAAATTAACTGCTCTGTCCTTAAAATGAGGGGGCAGAGCACAACTTGGGGCTCTGAAAGAACACAAACTTCTCCCCCCACTGCTCTGAGCAGCAGAAGTCTCTGACAGCCTCAAGATGCTCTGGAAGGTACCAACAATAATTTTTTTTTACTCACCAGCCCACATTCATTGAAGGCCAAGTTCTCGTCAGTCAGTTTGAGACCTCCAGGTCCCAGGAGCTCAAAGGGCAGCCAGTCATCTCTGAGTGCTTCTCTCACAAAGTTGTAGAGCACAGACACTGACTCTCGGGCATAAAAAGTCCCTGCCATGAGAAAACAAGGTGAGAGAGTCTGGCATTTACCAAAATCTAACCTTTTGTGGTCGGTTCCGTGGGGCTTCACCCACTGATGCTGACTTGATCAGCGACTTCCCTGCCACACAGCCAGCCTGATTTAACTGAAACCTATAAAAGCAGAATCCCCAAAGAAAAATACTCAATTGTTGGGAGCCCCTGCCAGCCTGTAACAAAGAGCTGGGGAAGCCTGAAATGATTTCCAGAGTTCTACAGGAAAATTTGAAGAGGATTTATGCTGTTGTACAGTCTGACATCACACAGGCAGCCTCACGCTGGCTGCTGTCACACTCTGATCTAATGAGTCCAGCTTGAGAAGAACAGACTTTAATTAATGATGCCTTGAGATTCTTCCCTCTCTGTCCAATCCTGGCTTAAAATCCCAACCCTGAGCAGGGAGAGGGTTTGGAGATGGAGAGAGTTCATGGGGAAACATTACCCTGCTGTAGTTTAGGGGTGGTTTATCCCACCAGCTGCACTCAGCACCTCCTCCTTACACTCCAAGGACCCTCAGAAACTTCTGGAGGTGCCTGAAGGAAGGGTGAGGAGTCCCCCTTACCCTGGAGCCATTGGAGATGGGCAGAGTTCATGGGGAAACATTACCCTGCTGTAGTTTTGGGGTGGTTTATCCCACCAGCTGCACTCAGCACCTCCTCCTTACACTCCAAGGACCCTCAGAAACTTCTGGAGGTGCCCAAAGGAAGGGTGAGGAGCCCCCCCTTACCCTGGAGGATGTATCCATCGGGGAAGCGCACCCTCAGCAGCGTGTAGTTGTACTTCCTCATCTCCCTCTGCTCGTCCTTCTCGCGCATGGCTCTGGTCCTCAGCATCGACGCCTTCTCCACCGCCTCCGTCCTGCGGGCACAGACCCTTGTAGGCCCCAAGGAAAGCCACCAGCTGCTGTCCCCTGGCCCTGCTGCTGTGCCCCGAGCCCTCACCGGAGCCGCTGCTCGCGGCGCAGCTCCTCCGCAGTGAGGCTGAAGAAGTCGCGGGGCAGCTCGAAGCGCGCGGCCGCGGGCGAGGGGTGGAACACGGCCAGCTGCCGGTGCAGCTGCGCCCGCACGGGCTCCGAGCTCAGCAGCTGCTCCTTGTGCTCCCTCAGGTCCTCCAGCCTGCTCAGCACCTCCTCCTTCAGCACGTAGAACTCCTCCGTGGTCTCTGCAAACACAAGGATGGGGCGTGAGGCTCTTGGTCTTCAGGGCAGTGACACGGGGACGAGGAAATGTCACACTGGGACGAGGAATGTGCAGGCGCTGAGGGTGTTTTTGTTCCAGCCTTGGAGGAATGACCTCTGTGGAGCTGTCAGCGATCAGAGCTGCCCCCAGCATCCCCCAAGCTCCACATTAATGAGTTCTTGCCTTGTCCTGGAACAGGCAGTGTTTTTGTCTCAAACCCGACAGCCTGGAAAAATTTGTGTGTCCCTTCCAAGCAGCTTATCCTTTCCTGGAAGAAAAGGACAGAATTTAGGTGGAGTTTGCTCCAAGCAAGGGCTTTCCAGGGCTGAGCAGCTGTGGAGCCTGAGCTCACCTGAAACACCTTGTTCTGCAGTTTGATTTTCCGGTATTTCTCCTCCTCTGGATGGAGATAGATGTTATCCAGGTACCTGCAGGAAGAGGAATGCACTGCCTGGATCAAAGCAAGACACTCCAAGGTCAGAGAGAAAAGAGAGACCTCACAGAGGAAAAAAGCTGAGAAACCCAGGAAAAAAAAATACAACAATGTTTTGGGGCCAAACTAAAAAACCAGCAGCTCCCAAGCCTCTTGGATCAGTGGGACCAACTCTTCCAGGTCAACTGTCAAATTGGGTGGTTCAAGAGTTCCATTTTCTTCCAAAAAAAAAAAGACTTTGCTAGAAGCAGAGCAAGCAAACCCAGCAGGGAAGGGATGAGCTGCCCGTGCCCTCAGTGACACTCACTTGGCCATGGTCTCCACGCACAGCCGGACCTTCTCCCGGTCCTTGTTGAAGGTGTGGATCTCCATGATGGAAGCGGCCACCGGGTCCACGGAGAAATACTGGGGGAGAGGGAGAGAAGCTGCTCAGGGAGGAGCTGACCCCAGCCCAGCTCAATTGTCCCCCATTTGCTGGGCTAGAGATGATTGAACAGGCAAAGTGAAATTGTCCTGGGGGAGATTTTACACGAAGCAGATGGAGGGTTGGCAAGGTCACTGCTGAAGGGGACCCACGGCACAAAAAGGAGTTTGAAGAGGGAAGGGAAGGAGTTTGAAGGGAAGCACTCACTGCCTGGATGGCTTCTCGGAGCTGCTTCTCCTTCTGGTCTTTCCTCACAACGGTACCAGTCAAGGGGCAGATGAAATAAACCCCTGAGACAGAGGGAGCAGCTGCCCCTTCCTCCTCCTGCTCCTGAAGGAGATCAAACCAAACTGAGCACGGGGAGGTTTTGGTGGGGATTATGTTTATAAATCCTCTCAGGATAAGGAGAGCAGCCCCAAGGGGTGCTGAGCAGGGAATGGCAGCATCTCCCTCACCTTTTCCTCCATGGAGAGCCCCTTCTCGCTGGCAGCTGCCTCGGCCATCAGCTCTTTCCTCACTACAACACACAAACCCTGTTGGAGTGGAGGCTCAGCACATTCCAGAGCCTTCTGGACAGCTCAGCGCTGCCCTGGGAAGCAAACACCTGCCCAGGTGTGGCGTCCCAGCCCAGGGCCGCGCATGACCCCATTTCCAGGACGGCTGCCCCAAACCAGGCAGGACAGGGAGCCGTCCCCGGGCGCTTTTCCAGCCGCGATTCCCGCGGCCGCTCCTACCCTGGTTCCTGATGGCCTCCTGCGACGCGGACGGAGCCTTTCCTCCCTTGGGCTTCACCTCCAGCCGGGCCAGCGCCGCGGCCGCCGCCCTCTGCGCCTCATCCGTCGGGGCCTGCCGGGGCTTCGGGGCCACCTCGGCTTTCGGCTTCTCCCGGGGGGCCCTGGCACGGAGGACACGGCTCGGGGACGGCCCGTGCGCGCCCGCCCGCCGGTGGCACCGCGGGGACGGGGGAAGGAGCGCTCGGGCCCGGCGCTGTCACCGCTCCCTCCCCGCGTGCCCCTCGTGCCCCGGGCAGGTACCGGGCCCAGGGCGGGCGGTACCGGCCGCGGAGGGTGCCCGGGGGTGGCGTTACCGGTGGTGGCGTAACCGGAGGGTCCCCCCAGCCCGTACCGGGACGGCTCCGAGAGCTTCTGCCCGGGCCCCGCTGTCTTGAACTTCAGGTCGGCCTTGATCTCCTGGAAGAACTTGCGCATGGCGGTGCCGGGATGGGACCGGGCCGGAACGGGAGGAGCACCGGGACGAGAGCAGCACCGGGACGGGAACAGCACCGGGACGGGAACAGCGCCGGGACGGGAGCAGTACCGGGATGGGAGCGGGGCGGCCGCACCCCCCCGCGCTTCCGGCCCGCCCGCGCCGTCACCGGAACGGGGCGGGACCGGCCCCGCTCGGGCGGCGGGGATGGGGCTGCGGGGGGGCGAGGGATACCGGCACCGGCATCACCGGGGGCTGCGGGACCCACGGAACCCGGAGAGGGACCCATGGACCCCGGAGCGGGACCCGCGGGACCCACGGACCCCAGAGTGGGACACACGGACCCCAGAGCGAGACCTACGGACCGCAGAACGGGACCCACGGATCCCAGAACGGGACCCACGGACCCCGGAGTGGGACACACGGACCCCAGAGCGGGACCCACGGACCTCCACAGAGCCCCGGTTGCATCCCTGGAGCCCCGGCGGCACCCATGGAGCCTCACGGAGCCCAGAGCGCCCCAGACCCCCCAAACCTGCACCCGCAGCCCCACGGAACAGCCTCGGCTCGCGGTACCCCGGGAGCAGCCCCGGTGTGAGCAAAGCAGGGTGAACGGGCAGCTCCGGAGCTGGGACGCAGCCGGGTAAAGCTCACGGACAAGGAGCCTCGTGTCTCCCATACCTGGGAGATCGACCGAGGGCTCCAAACCTGAGGATGCGCACAGTGAACATCCCCGCGTGTGCTGCGGTTTCACGGGGTTATTTCCACGGTACAGCCCCTCCTCGTCCTCCTGTGGGACACGGGACACTCGCAGCCGAGGAAGGGGCTGCGACTCTCGGCGTCGGGCGGACCCCACGCCGAACGGGGCTGTCGGCACCTGGCACTGCCCCTCCCGTGCACCGAGAGCCAGGAGCACCTGGATGAAGGCTGGACACGCACCCGGTGGCACCAGTGGGAGTCACGGGCTGAGACACGGACCTGCCCTCCAGGGACACCGCCATGGCACAGGACAGGCTGAGGGGAATGTACAGAGAGAGCCCTGACGCTGCTGGGATGTGGCAGAGCTGGGAGACAGCACGGCCAGGATGTGGCACAGCCCGAAATATGGCACAGCTGGGACATGGCACAGCTGGGACACGGCACAGCTGGGACACGGCAAGGCCAGAATGTGGCACAGACTGGATGTGGCATGCTCAGGATGCAGCATGGATGGGATATGGCACAGCAGGGACGTGGCACAGCAGGGACGTGGCACAGCAGGGACACGGCACAGCAGGGACACGGCACAGCCCGGCAGGAGCGAGGCCTCACTCACAGTGTGACAGGGAGCACTCCCAACACCCCGACACCACCTTCACGAATTCCCCTCCTCACACACCTGCCCCCGAACCCCTGGGAATGAGGAGTTTCTCCCCAGAATCTGGGCTGTGGTTTGGGTTTTGCAGCCCGGTGTGGGCAAGGACTGTTTTCCTTTCCATGACCTTGCAGAGAAGCCAGTTTGGGTTAAAAGCGGGTTAAGCCCCAGTGCAGCTCCCAGTGACTCTCCTTGTGGCCCTGTCCTGGGCCAGAGACATGGCCACCCACCACCCTCACCTGTCCAGAAGGAGTTTGGAGTCCCAGGATGGCCCCAGGGCCAGGAGCCCCATCCGCAGGCTGGGGGCTGAGCTGGGGGCAGTGGATGGGGCAAGATCAGCGTTTGTCCCACCCATAGCCCTGACCCTGTCCCCACACCCTTGTCCCCCACAGCGCTGTCACCCTCCCATAGTCCCCAGCCCCCCACAGGTCCCAATTCCAATCCTGTCCTCATCCCTGTCCCCCCTCAGATCCCAATTCCAATCCTGTCCCCATCCCTGTCCCCCGTCAGGCCTTGTCCCCATCCCCGTCCCCCCCCGCCCCTCAGGTCCCGCCCCCCAGCGCCCCCCGCTTCGGCGCCTCCGGCGGCGCGGCCCAATCCCGTTATCCCGCCGCGCCGCCGCCTCGCTCCTATTGGTCTGATAGGCTGAGCGACGTGCCGCGGAACCAATGGGCGGCGCGGTCGCGACCGGGGGCGGGACATCCTGCGTGCCGTGCGGTGCGGGCCGCCCCCGCCGCCTGCCCGGTGCTGCCGCGGCCTGGGCTGGGCCTGCCCGCGCCCGGTGCCCCCCGCGCCCGCCGCGCCCCCCGGTGCCGCCATGCCACACAGCTTCAAACCCGGGGACCTCGTCTTCGCCAAGATGAAGGGCTACCCGCACTGGCCGGCCCGGGTGAGACCGCGGGGCCGCGCCGCGGGGGGACGGAGCGGGAGGGGGGCGGGGGTCCCGGACCGGGATGGGGGCGGGATCGGGAGGGGGGACCCGAGACGGGATGGGGACGCGTACCGAGCCTTGTCCCCGGAGCGGAGGCCCCTGCCGCGATGGAGATGCCATAACGGTACCTGTACCGGGATGGGGATCCCGCCCCGGGATGGGGGCACGGTACCGGTGTGGGAACACGTACCGGGATGGAGATGCCATAACGGGACCCGTACCGGGACAGGACGCCCTGTACCGGCCCGGGGAGCTGGTACCGGGGTGGACATGCTGTAACGGTACCTGTACCGGGATAGGAGGGTCTGTACCGGGTACGGATGGGTGTCTCGTTCGGGACGGGGGACCCAGGTCGTTGTCTGTCGTGGATCTGAGCCGGTGGTGGCCTGAGGGACTGTCCCAGCGCACAGACCGGGATGTGGGGTCACCCCCAGCACCTGTACCGGATTGCGATGTCCTGTACTGGGATGGGGCCCGGTACCGGTGCGGGGTGTCCCATTCTGGGATGGGAGCTCCCATTCCAGCCCCTCCACTGGCATGGGGGCCCAGTACTGGAATGGGGGGTCCTGTACCGGAATGGGGACCCCACATGAGCGGCTGTGCTGGGATGAGGGTCCAGCACTGGCTCAGAGACCCCATATGGGAACTCATGTCGGGGTGGGAGCTCAGCACTGCTCTGTGGCGCCTGGGCTTCTGTCCCCTGTTGGGGACAGCGAGGGGACACTGTGGGTGTGACATGGGCGGGGGGCTGCTGTGAGCGCTCACGGTGCGGGATTAGCGGGTGCTGCTGCGCTTTGCGGGGGTTATTTGCGATGCTGGGCTGGTGCCACCGGCCGGGTGACAGCGTCGTGCCGCGGTGCTCCTGGACAGCGGGAGCTGCTTTGGGATGTGCTCAGCTGGGGGGTGCCTGGGGGCTCTGCGGGGAGCAGCGAGGGCACGGCAGGTTCCCGCACTGCCCTCGGACGGGAAGAGACTGGCAGGTGGAACCGTGCGGGCTCGGGGAGCTCAGGGGGCCGGAGCTGACACCGCTTGGCTGCACCTCGCCGTGACACCGGGACTGCCGCTCCCGCCAGGACAGCCCCTCTGCTTTAGCTCGCTTGCTTTCTGGGGAAGGGTCCCCCCGCCCCGAAGACCTCCCCAGCACCCCCTGCTCACCCCGAGGCTCTCCCTGCCCACGGCCCAGACGCCCGGAGCACAGAAGACGGGGGTGTCCGGCCGGCAGCGGGGCCTCCAGCCAGGACGGACCCTGCGGCCGCTCGTCCATCGCCCCCGCCCGCGCTGCCGGGCCCGGCCACCGACCCCGGGGGAGTAGCGCAAGGCCCACGTTGCCCACAAGACCTCGGTGCCGGATCCTTCCCGTTTCTCTGGTAGAAATCCCGCAGGGACTCGGACCCGTAGCCAGGGCCCCGTCCGGGTGCTTTCCTGCCGCGCTTGGCTCCAAGCGGGTGCCGGACCCGACGCCGCTTGCCGGGGCTGAGGACGCTGTCTCTGACCTCCTGCTGCTTTGGGTTTCCTTTCAGATCGATGACATCGCGGACGGCGCCGTGAAACCCCCCCCGAACAAGTACCCCATCTTCTTCTTCGGCACCCACGAGACGTAAGCGCTGCCTCGCTCCCCCCGCCGGGCTCTGCCTCCGCTCCGGCCTCACCTCTGCTTTGTCTCTCTCCAGCGCCTTCTTGGGCCCTAAAGATCTGTTCCCTTACGAAAAGTACAAAGACAAATACGGGAAACCAAACAAGAGAAAAGGCTTCAACGAGGGCTTGTGGGAAATCCAGAACAACCCCCACGCCAGTTACAGTGCCCCTGCGGTGAGTGTGGGCTGGGCAGGGCCTGGGGCTGCGGCCCCTCCGTCCCCCCCGAGTGGCTCCTCCTGTCTCTGCTTCTCCTCGCTGCTGTGCCGATTGCTTCCAGCTTCCAGCTTGGCTTCCTTGGGGTGGAATTAGCTCCCCTCTGCTTGCCTGCCCTCTCCCTTCCTCAGGGAGTCTGCTCTCCTCATCTTCCTCCATGGAGGGGTTTCCCTCAGGCTTCCAGGAGCACTGGAAGTTCCCACTTGCTCTGGAGGAAGGCGCTTCTGCCCCGTTGTCACGGTGGAACTGGGGTTGTGCTTTGTGCTGCTTGCCCAAAATCACGGAGATTTTGTTGTCAGAGCAAGAACTTGAGGCTTGCTTGTCCCTGGCTCCTGGATCTGCTTGTGGACTGTTGGGAAGTCCCCTTCTCCATCCATTCCTGAGGTTCCTGAGCCCTCCAGCAGGATTTGGAGCGAGCTGGGCCAGGGAACAGCTCTTTGTCAACTTCTTGTAGGAGCATCTCATGACCATAATTGGGATCCAGTTTATTCTGTAAAGATCATCACAGGAGGCGTCAACTTTGTAGGCCATGGGGCTGAAGAGGCAGAGGAAGGTTTGTAGGGTGGGCAGCAAGGTCCAGGTGGTCCCTGGAGGTCAGCAGGTGCAGGGAATGAGCCCCCGGGCCGTGCCATGGCCGGGCAGGAGTGAGGATGTGGTTTGAGGGGCAGGGGTTGGGAAATGTTCCACCCAAAACTGGATGTAGGGTAAGGTGAGGCTGTGGACGTGCTTGAAAACCTGGAGATTGGTGATGGTGAGGGAGGCACCACCTGCCATGGCCAGGAATCTGCTGGGAACTCCCATCAGGGACCCATGAGGGACCCAGCAAGGCTGAGGGTTCACCAACACCCGCTACGTCCTGTGGGCAAAAGGAAAAGGAGAAGACACTGAAGTTTCCTTGGCTTTGAGACCTGAGTGAAGCGAGGTGCCAGGAACAGCCAAGGGTGAGGA